GTCGATTTATAGTGGTTTCTTCTTTTCGGTTAAATTCATGATTTTCCCAACTGAATGTAGTTCTTTTAATCTGGTTTAGTTTTTTGTCTTGATCGTTCCAGAGTAGATGCCATTTTTTCCTTATTTGTGTTTTAACTGCCTTTTTGATGTCGTCATATGAGGAGATGTTTAGTTTGGTTGTGTTTTTGTTGGATGCGGCAAGTTTAGCGTATTTGTCCGCTATTTCATTCATATTTATTATCTTTTATTAACATTTATTTTCAAAGTATTCATAATATATTATAATACAATTAATGAATACAACTAACAATGACCAATGCACCAGGATAAAATACAGAATTATTTTAAGAAATTTTATGTGGCAAATTCTCACTAGATAACAGACATAATTACTCTAATATGAGAATCTGTGTGAAAATAAATTCAACTGACACAGTAAGCTGTATAAAAAGTGTATTTTCAGATTCTTGTTAAATTGTCGAATTTGAATCCAAACATTAAAAATATTTAATCAATAATTTCTGTGAAAATATAACTCCAAAATTTTGGACCCAAAAAAATAACACCATACAATAAGTACCTTATATGAAACTATGCAAATTTGCATATAACATTTAATATTAAAAAAAAAAATTATTATGAAATCTTCCGATATTTCAACAGCAGCATACGTAGGTATAAATGGTCAATATACCTATATAAACATAATATACAAAATGTCTATACTGATATTATAATAACTACAGACATAATGGATAAGAAAAGTATAACTTTATTTTTAATGTTATGATATTAAAGTTTTAATGTATGCTATGTAGCAGTATGTACCTTGGCATGCTTTCGTCAATCGTTTCTGTCTGAATTTATTTAGTATGGAACTTTATTATGTGTCTACCTTTTAAATCATTAAATTTAAAAGTAAGACTATCTAATATCTAGATTTTATTATCTAGGGCTCACATATCTAGGTATCTTTAATATTTTAGTTTTTAACCAAGTCTTGTGCATTTTAAATTTGTATTTTAAATATTATTTACTATAGAATTCTCTAATATTTTTATTTTAGTTACACCTTCATAAGTGCTTACTAAAAAATTCAATAAAATATACAATTTAAAATCATTTTCATTAAATAAATGTCCATAGGTACAAACACCAAACTCGATTAACAAGATACCTAAATATGTATAAGGCAAAAACCATAACAAAATAATATAAAACTTTCTATCATCATTTCTAGAGAAAAAGAAATACTAAAATAGTTTTGAATATTTGAGTTAGGTTAATCAAAAATTTTGTTCTGATCAAGTCCATTAAAACAGAAGGAATTTTGATCACGATTGATAAACTGTATTGATATTAAATTAGCATTTAATTGATAATTGTTTAAAAATGCAGGTAAAAATGAAATCGATTTTGACTTCAGGTATAAATTAAAAATGATGATCTTTGAATCGATTTTTTCACCAAAGTACTTAATATCGGACCATTAGAACTAGGGAAATGAGATCAGTGTTATTAATACATTTGAAACACAATAAATCGTTACCACAAGATGGCTTCTACATATGCCGGCAATTAACAAATATTATTCTCCTAACAAACAATTTACCTGCGATTTGTCTACTATTATTGCAGCGATGCGATCAAATACGGCTGCCGAGTGAAACCATAACACACTCGACAAATTGACGCAACAGAGAACGGACTAACTCATAAACACATAGCATAGAAATCAAAACGAAAGATTAAATTGGAACTAAATACAACGATAATATTAATAAAAAATAATAAAAATAAATGCGACGGCGCATTAGCGAGCGGGACAGAGGCGGCCAGTCGAATACTCGAATACTCAATTAATGTGAAATACCGAAATGGTAATTGCGCACGCGCAAATGCCGGGAATAAGACGACTTGAGGCGTGGAAGAAAAACGAAAATTGATAACACCCGTCGGCGGTCGAGGGCGGGCATCGGACAGTTGGGTCCCCGAGATAACAGCCGTTTTAATCGTGTCAAGTCTTGCGGCCCGCCGCTAAATTTTTAAACCATCACCATATTTTGTTTTCGAATTGATGTCTTATTGTTTTCTACTTTCTACAATTTATGACTAGTGGGGGTGCAGTGAGCACAGAACTGGTATAAACTGTAAGGAAATCGACGGTCTGTTGTCCCATATGACCATTTGTAAAAAAAAAAAAATGCTGTATTACTGTCGCACAGTGGTCTGAAAAGTAAATTTAACTTACATAAAATTAAATTGTAGTTTTTATTCGTAATAAATTACCATAATATGTTTTATTTTTGTGTATTAACTATTAAATAGATAAATTACCATGTTTAACTAGTTAGGAGATAGGTGTACAAAATGTATAGCAATTTTGGTACACTTAAGGACTTTGGTTTATTTATACGCATTTAATGCAAATATACAATATATTTTACAAAAATAAACCCAGAAATTTAGAGCCATAAAAATAATTCTATAATTCGCGGGATTTCAATGCCAGATGATTGAAGAAATTTTTATTTCGTCAACATCAGCTATATGTAATATTTTGACATGTTTTGAGCTATTTATAGATATTGGATATTTTTAGTTTTTTTCCATAGGTACATTGAAGAATAAAATGTTTTCGTATGATCAAAAAGTTTTGAAATTTAATACAAGATTCCTCATACGTTGTTATAAAAGTAGTTAAAAAATATTAAAGATATATTATAAGCACTATTTTTTTTATAATCATTTAGGCATTTTTAAATTTATATATTGATAAAAAACATTTGGCAATATTTTGTAGAATAAATATTGTAAAAATGAATTTAAAATGTTCAATTTTTATAGCCAAGGTTTAAAAACGTATAACAAGGTTTCTCATGAGTGATTCATATTGTAAACGATGCACACCCACATGTGTCGTCTCCGTCTTACGCACGTTCAAGTGTAGGACAGACTAAACACTGAGTAGAACCCTCTCAATTATTTTGTTGATGGAATAAAAACACTTATTACAAAATTAAAATATGACTATATTTTGGGTGGCAACACGGTTATTTTTTTTAAGCTAAAGGTCAATATCAAATTATCGACATTTCTAAACGATGTAACCAGCGTTATTTTGGGAATAATGGAAAAAACGCTCTTGCTCTCAGAAATATTGTCACAGTTCTATTTTAAAATAGGTATTTTTACTCTAGAGCACGATTAAAGATAGATACTATAGTATATATATACTATGTATAGGCGCAAATTGGGGGGGGCTTGGGAGTGCTAAGCCCCCAAAAACCTAGGACATACAATTTTTATATGCTATATTGTAATGGTCCGATTGTCTTTAATGTATTCAGCCCCCCTATGCCAAAAGTTGAAATTGCGCCTTTGATAATCGTGCTCTAGAGCCAAAATTGAGAGAGTTCTACTGAGACTGCGTAGACGCATATTGTCTATGTCGTATAAGTCGGAGACAAAACATGATGGTGTGACGTCCTTTTTTAAACTTATTTTAAGTTAAAATTTGGAAAAAAAAATAAATTTAAACAAAGAATAACGATTTTAGTTATTTTGTTATAATTTAAATATATTTTTTGTGGGCACTTCAAACTTTTAAAGTAGCTATATTATTTTTTTATTCACTACAATAATATTTTCAAATGCAATGTCTTTTTTATATTTTTTTTATCCTTATTGTATTGTAAGTTTTTCATTTTTTTAATGACAACATATACAGTTTTAATTTCGTTTTCTAAAGCAGTACAATTTTTAAAATACCTGCCCTACTTTAATATATTAAAATTAAATGTTGAGTTAGTTATGAGTTATAAGTATTTAAAGTTTAGTTTAGCAAGTGGATTATGTTGGTCCATTACAGCACTACAAAAGTGTTCTAAACTTTTAAAATAGAAGATGTCCTAAAAAAATATTTCAACAATAACAATATTTCTATTTCTATTCCACCACCTGGAAATATTTAATCTGGTTCTAGTAGTAATATTAGAATTCTATTATTTGTATCTCATACTTAGTGTTTGATTTTTTCGATTAAAATAATTTAAATTGTACCTGTAATATTAAAATTTTTCGATGTGTAAATTATTAAAATAATTTGTACTATTAGGGTTTCTGGTTATTAAGGCAGTAACATTCACAATTCATTCAACATTGTTTTTAAAGTGATATAATGTTGTGTTCTGAGCATTAGCATATCTAGGATTTTTTCACAGGGGGGATATACAATTTTTAATAGACATTCAGTATACACATTATTTTCGTAGTATTATGTACATGTTGTATTGTGTACAAAATTTAGTCACGGGGGGATAAAACCCCCACTTTTCTACAGTAGATACGCCACCAATTCTGAGAACTGATAATAAAACATGATATATGATATTCAAATTTCTCTTACATTTTATTCTCTAACGTAAATAATTACACATTACAATAACGTTATTATCAAATTATACAGTATAACTAGTATAGGTGTAACTGCTGTGATGACTTTCATATAAGTAATAAAACCTATATTTGGGAAAATAATGAGTAATTTATAAAATTATTAGAGTACCAAAATTAAATTAACTGAAAAATAATAATGTAACATAACATTACATATCATGCATAATCCATCCAACGATAATTAAAATGATATTGCTAATAGCTTATAAGCAGGGTTTTGTTTAAAAAAAATATATATATTTATATCCACAGTACACAAAGAAACAATATATTACATATACAATTCAAAAGGAAAATGGTTAATTAATTTTTGACTGAATTCATTAACACTATTTTGTTTTCATTTTTAGCAACAAATGTGTAGTGAATTGCTATTAATTTAAAACTAATTTTGTGATATCTAAAAAAGTGGGATTTTATTATAATTTAACAAAAAGAAGCCAAATTTAATTTGAAATGAGTAATAATCTAAAGTAAATAGATGAACTTCTTTATACTGAGTTTGGTTTGAAGACTGTTCAGTTGTGGAATAACATAATACTTCAACCAAAATTAATAGCTTTACCAAAGTATGCAGCTAAATTTGCTTCTCTTAATGCTTCCGAACACGTCTAAAATTAAGAAAATATTTATGTATTATAGTGAGTAATTAAAGTAAAAATAAAAATTACTGGATGTGCATGGCAGACTCTAGCAATATCTTCACAGGATGCTCCATATTCCATTGCTAAAACAGCTTCATTAACTATCTCTCCAACACCCTATAAACACAGCATTATAAGTACTATAAAATAACTAATACTTTTATAAAAATATATTACAGGTCCAATTAAGTGGCATCCCAATAATTTATCAGTAACTTTATCACCAAGAACTTTAATGAAACCATCAGTTTCATTGTTAGTTTTAGCTCTACTGTTGGCCGCAAATGGGAATTTTCCTACTTTGTAATCAACACCCTGAAAACATAGTTTATTATAAAAAAATAAGACATTTCAAATTAATCTATAATGTGAAAAATTACTTCATTTTTCAAGTCTTCTTCACTTTTTCCAACCCATGCTACTTCTGGGTGAGTATATATAACTGAAGGTACACAATTGTAATCAATATGTACTGGTGCACCTGTTATACCTTCAACACAAACTATACCTTCGTCTTCAGCTTTGTGAGCTAACATTGGTCCATGGATACAATCTCCAATAGCAAATATACTATAAATATATTTTACATGTTTAATTAAAATGAATACTTTTGAAAACAGCCTATAACAATACAATTACATACTTAGGTATAACAGTTTGGAATCTAGAATTTACAGGTATTCTTCCTTTAGCGTCCTTCTCAATGCTATTCTCTTCTAAACCTAAATTCTGTGTATAAGGCCGACGACCAACACTCACAAGTAAAACATCACAGTCCAACTAAACATTAAAAACTCATTAAAATATTATTCAAATTAATAAATATTTAAACTACTACCCACCGTCTCTTTTTTTGAAGAATCTTTGGCATTCTCAACTTCAACTAATATTTGTCCTCCAGATTTACTTGCACTGATAACTTTAGTTCCCAATTTAAAACCTAATCCTTGTTTAGTCAATATTTTTTGAAACTGTTTGGACACTTCGCCATCAATGCCAACACCACCGATTGTAGGCATAAATTCAACAGCAGTTACTTTTGCTCCTAAACGACTCCAAACAGATCCCTAATAAATACGAGAAAATAATTATTACTTAGATTATTTTTATTTTCCCAGTTTAACTCACTAGCTCAAGACCTATAACACCGGCACCAATAACAATCATCTTTTCAGGAACTTTCGATAGTTTTAATGCACCTGTTGAAGAAACAACAGTTTCTTCATCAATCTATAAACAAAATGTAAACATTTTTTTAAATTGTATTTTCATATCAAGATTGTTTGAACTTACATCGATTCCGGCAAAAGGAGTAACTTCAGATCCAGTAGCAATAAGTATATTTTTAGTTTTAATATCTTCTGAAGATCCATCTTCTTTCAGTACTGATACTGTGTTTGGGTCCTTAATTTTACCATGACCTTTGGCTAATGTTATTTTATTTGATTTAAACAAATGAGCGATTCCACCAGTCAGTGCAGTCACAGCATTTGTTTTTGTTTGCATTAATGCTTCTAGATTAAGCTTGACATTCTCAACTAAGATATATAGGAGAATATTGGTACAAATCATACATTTTTATACTTTATTAGTATGTAAAAATTACTAACTACATGACTATAAAAAAAATTAACTTACCTTCAACTCCACGAGAATTTAGATCACCAGAATGTGCCATATGATAATAATGTGAGTTATTCAGTAGTGCTTTAGAAGGAATGCAACCAACATTCAGACAAGTACCACCAAGTGTAGGATTTTTTTCAACACAAACAGTCTACAAACAACAAAGTAACAAATATTTGAATCCTTTTCTTGAAAGTAAAATAACATTTACACTTACATTCAATCCCAACTGTGCAGCTTTAATGGCAGCTACATAACCACCAGGTCCAGAACCAATAACAACTAAATCTACCGAGTCACCACTTGCATAACGACGGTTAACTACAGAGTATATAAATCCACACTCGATATGTTTGGACTTTTGCAGCATATTTGGCTAAGCATGAATGAAGAATTCAATTTTAATTCCATCTACTATTATTATCTATTATAATATGTTTATACACAGCTAATACAAACCTTTACAGCCATTGAAAACCTACTAAAGATATTTGATTGCATTTTGATCGAGTGGAAAATATCTTAGGAAACAGGAAATTATTAATTGTGGGCCAGATCCAATGTGTTTTGTACAATTAACAGAAAAATGAACGATAAACCATGAAATTGAAATATGAATTATGGGTATAATTTTTTTTGCCCTTCAAAATGTCAAAAAATAATATTTTATCTCTCCCCTCTCCAAAGTCCAAAGTATTTTGATAACGTGAACCTCGATGTGGTTTACCACAACCCTGGTAACTTGATCAGCTGTGTATTAATGCGGATAATCAAATCAAAATGGCTACGATGTGAATGTGTGATTACACTCGAACGTGGCGTTTATTAGTCTTCAAAAGTTAAAACTACTCAAATAAGATTGTGATTTTAATTAATTTTAATTTTAATTTATAAAACTATAAATATTTAGTATATGTAATATTTGTATCATTACTCGAATAAACAATTGTTTAATGTTGACATTAAACAATTGTTTTATGGATACTGATTTGTTTTTCGTATAATCATGTTGTGGTAGCCATTGATAATTAGTTAATGTTATATAGAAATTAAAATAATCTCGATAAGTATGTCGTCTTCCGGAGATTTCGGTAATCCTCTTAGGAAATTCAAATTGGTGTTTTTGGGCGAACAAAGTGGTACGATTATTATAGTAAACCAATTTACTTGTATACAATATATCATGTAGGTATTTAACATAATACATATTGCTATTATTCTTATTATAGTTGGTAAAACGTCACTCATCACAAGATTTATGTATGATAGTTTCGATAATACTTACCAGGTAAACTTAAGTATTTATAAGAACATCTACAACTAATAAAGTTGTACAAAATATAATTTATTTTTGTCTTGTGTCAACAGGCCACCATTGGTATTGATTTTTTGTCTAAAACTATGTATCTCGAAGATAGAACTGTAAGTTGTTTTTATATATTAAAAATATTTATACATTCATTATTCTTTAAAATTATTATTACTTCAAGTAAAGTAATATGATTATGTTATACCTTATATTAAATGTAGTGAATTCATAGGTATTAAGCAGTAACTTAGATTTTAGATGTAACTTTAAGACAATAATTTTTAGTTATAGACTTATCATACATTTTATAGTAATTATATACTAATTACGTCCAGTTATTTATAATAAAGAATTTTTTATTTTATTTTTAATAATATAATGAAACCTATTTTGTGTAATAATTTAAAATTGTACTCTTAATATGCATGTATATATTAATAAATAAACATGTTCCCTTTTATTAAATCGCCTATTATTCTGAAAGAATTTTTCCTTATTAATTATATTAATTTAATAGAAATAAAATAATCTTAATTATAAGATAATAAATAATGTTATCAATTATTTTCAAAATTAAAAAGATTTAAATAATATTTTAAGTTATCTAGGTATATGATAACTTAATAATTTATATTTTCAAACTAATATCATCTGACATAATATGAGTAATAATTATACATTTGTCAGACACTTAGCATTCACAATAATAAGTAATAACTATAAAATAATTATTTTTATTTTAAGTTAGGTAAGTGTTAAATAAATATATGGTATAATATAAATTTTAAATTCAATATAAAAATATTAGCTGACTTGGTTGTTAAGTTAATTGCAAAGCAATAAAAAGAAACCATTATTTTGAATACATAATTCCGTATAAGCCATATTGTTTTAATTAATGTAATTTAATACATCATGTGTTACCGTTGTATTATCTATACAATATACTAAGTAATAGGTACCTATATCAAAATAAAAATAAAACTTAATAAAATGTATTTTTAATATTTCAAGTTAACCATATTGCAATTTTTTTATTAAATTACATTGTAGACCAAAATACAACAAATATTCTTAATCTAAAAAAGAGATCATTTACTTAGTACAATATTAAAACAATAGTTTAATTCAAACATCTCCAAAATAATTAACTTTACACACTTATCTTATCTAATTGTATAATAATTATAATTCTATAATAGACTAGTGATTTCTTAGTTATTAAACCATTTACTAATGTAATAAATAAATAGTTTTATTCAATAAAAAAATATTAACAACCTGTGCTTCAGCACAATAAGTAAATAAGATAATTTTTTAATATAGATAATAAAAATGAAGAGGGAGACCATCTAGTTAGAGAACCCATATTTTTTTTTTCATATATTTCAAGAAAACACTACACCTGCATACTTGTCTCTGTCTTACAAGCTTGTAACATGGCAAATTGTATTTAATTCTGTTGTTATTAATATTAGAGCGAATTGTCCTATTATCTATCAAATTTAGAAGTCAGAATTATCTATTGAGATCATTGAAAAAAAGTTTACCCCAAATTAATGTTAATTTTTTAAGAGCGTTTGAATTTAAAATTTTAACGATATTAAATTTGCATCAATGAATTATGAATTTTCATCTTTCAATTTTTGATATTTTGTTGTAATTCATAAAATAATAATTCTACATATATGAAATGTTCACCAAATTTTAAAATAACTATTTTCCATTCATGGTAAAATTTTGACTTACTTATTTATAGCCCTGAGAAATTTTTATTGATAATATGATTGAGGCATATGACTTGAGCCCATGAAAAATTACAGGGTGTGCCTTGGCACGCCCTATGCTCACACCTATGGTTTTTAAGTATTAATAAACTACGTTTCGGACAATCCTCCCAAAATCTTTTCTGGATATGGCCTAAAACTGTGTATAAAGTATAAGTTAAAATACTTATTTGAAATTTAAATTAAAGTATAAGTATTACATCTTAGATTTTTTCCCTAAGTGAAGCCTTAATTTGTCTTATTTTAATAATATGATGATGTTTCGGTTATGAGTTAATTTTAATTTTAATTAATATTTATTCAGGTAAGATTACAGCTATGGGATACAGCAGGACAAGAAAGATTCAGAAGTCTTATTCCTTCTTATATCAGAGATTCTACTGTTGCTGTTGTTGTATATGACATAACAAGTACTAAACTATTTCAAATAATTATTATTAAATTAAAGAGTGAGTAATGAAATGTAATTTTGTTTAGATGCAAATTCTTTTCACCAGACATCAAAATGGATAGATGATGTTCGAACTGAACGTGGTAGTGATGTAATAATAATGTTAGTTGGTAACAAAACTGATTTAACTGATAAACGACAAGTATTAGCTGAAGATGGTGAACATAAAGCCAAGGAGTTAAATGTCATGTTTATTGAAACTAGTGCTAAAGCTGGTTACAATGTTAAACAAGTTGGTGTTGATTAATGATCATTATAACATGACTGTTATTTTTTTTTATTTGTGTTTAGTTGTTCAGAAGAGTGGCAGCGGCATTACCCGGTATGGACGTAGCTGAGAATCGACCACCAGAAGACAGTATCCTTTATAAATATTTTATACAGCTTTTTGAGCACTGCATGAATGTTTTGTTTGATTTCATGCTTGTGTATAGTACTTATACTTCTAACATTTTTTTTTGATTTTCACACGTATGTATTTTAGACTATTAAAAAATCATAAACATTTAAAACCTTAAGAGTGATTCATCAAGTATGCTCAACCCTTTTCTTATTCAATAATATAATTATTCAAAATCTAATTTTTGAATTTTTTTAATATTCTTAAAGACAATATTTTCAATTGTTGAGATTTTTTTACTACTTAAGGAAGGGTGTCTAGAGGAAATACAAACTTCTGTTTTTAAAATAATAATCACTCTTTTATATTGTGAATTATTTAGCTGATAATGTTGACGTATTAAAATCAAAATTTGAATGAATAGTTTTTGAGCTATCTAACATTGGATACTAAGGATAATAGACCCATGATTATTGGCTTGGAAGATGAAGATATGGGGGCTATGGTAATTTGACAATCTTAGTTATTTATAATGATCTATCAATATTCATAACTTATAAAAGAGTTCCAAGTATAGTAAATACTATATCAAAATAACATTTATTTTATGTTTTTGTAAAAACATTTTAAAGGTATATTTTTCTTTATTATAACAACTAAAAAGCTACTTGTTCAAAATTTAAATTAGGAACATTCACATTTTACCTTAAATTAGGAACATAAGAAATAGTTAGGTTCTCATTTGAAAACAGAAGTTTGTATCACCACAAAACTTATGTAGTACACAAATATCAAGAATTTAAACAATTGTATAATACGTACAACTATAAGTGTATATGAAAATTCCAAAATTCATTATTAAATAAAAGAAAACGAGGGCGAGCAATGAGCATGCTTAGGGAATATTACCAACCCTATATATTTATTTGTTATGCATATAAATCAACATTTTAAGCACTTGTACAATTATAGTTTTTTAACCTATGACGAGAATAAAAGAATACTATAGCTTTTTTTTTTGTATAAATTATAGAAAAATGCTATTTGCCTTGGTATATGATTTTAAATAGAAATGAGAGATTGAGAAAATTATTCAGTTAGTTTATAATAATATAATATCTTTTGTAGGTACTAAATATTATTGACTACCGTTGTATTTAAAATGTATGATCTCAATTTGTATTTATCTTAAAAAAACAATTTACAAAGTAAATCCATGATAATTCATAAGGCCAATTGATGAATTTTAGTGAATGCTAATTTATGATTTTTTTGTGATTTACTTATAACTTATTTTAATTAGAATTATGGTATTTTCTCTTTTCTTTTTGCGGCATGTTTGTTTCCTTAACTATTGCTTGTTTTCAGTGCAAGAAGTCGTGCTTAAAGACACACCGAATGATGCAGCAAATCCAGAGAAGAGTTGTGCATGCTAATATATAATTTACAGTTAAACTTATATAATTAAAATCCATCCAATTTTTTATTACTTTTAATAAAGTCTAAAACTCTGAGGACTAACTATTCTTATTTTTCTTTAAATAACAAAGAAAAAATTCTGGTCTTAGTTGGACCAGTAATTAATTAAAATAATACATCTAATTATAACTAAACCTATAATTAGTAATTATAATATAATAAAAGAATAACAATTGAAAGAAAATATTTACACCTCGCTGAACATTCCCAGAGCTTTAAATAAATGCTACATTATTATTGTTTTGTAAACAATTATTTTTATTTATTTCACCGTTATAATTTTTAACTAATAGTAGTGTGGTAAATGTAAATGTAAATATATTTTATAATTTTGAACTTTGTATGCATTAATTTTTTTCTTACTATCCTTAACACATTGCATAGCTGTCGATTTACAGAATCATGCGGCCAATCAGGGAGACTCACAAGAGTCTGAAAGCAGCTGTATGTGTTAATTTTGAATGTTGATTTTTTTATACATTTGTAATAATCTTATTGCTTTTTAATTTTTATACATAAATAATAAAACTAACTAAGTCGTTTAAGACATTTAAATTAAGTAGGCAAGTTGCAATTTATTATTGGAGTACATGGATTAAGCTCATGTTAAATCACTGTTTAGTATCTACATTCATTATGGCTAGTCACTTAACACTATTTGTTTCTTATTTCTTCTGTAGTATTTAATGAATTTTTTTTAAATTAATAGTTAAATGTCACATGGTGTTAGCCTCGTTAAAATCTTCACTATATAATATAGGATTTTCCTGAAAGTGAATTACTTTTTGAATATTTTGTTGTAAATTTATTATAGCCTTGTATTATGTTTAATAGGTATAATATATTGAATATTCATATTATTTGAAGTATTATTTAAATGTTTTAAAATAAAATTGGTTGTATTGGTAAATGCCAAATGGTAATAATTAATGTCCCATTTGGATATTTGGCTATATATTTCGAAGTCATGGTTGTAAACTTTTATCGATAACTATATTTTATAATCAATAAGAGTTAAATAATCATAATAACAAAGCCCCATATTTTAATGCCCTAAATTAATTTTAAAAATGTATATCTATAAACCATCAAGTATTACTCTATGCTATAAGCTCCAAAATATGTGCCTACGTAATATAATTTTGATAATACAATAGATATTGTATTACATTTAACACGTTCGCTGCGTAAAACACCAATTGGTGTCATTGTACATGGTTCGCATATGCCAATTGGCGTCATGTACCTTGTTAGTTAACACATTCGGTGCGTTTGTCGGCTATATCCGACGGATCGGTTTTTTCACGGTGCGTCTGTCGGATATAGCCGACTTGTATGTATGTGAACGGTGTGCCTGTCGGATATAGCCGACATCAAGTCCGTTGAATTAAATGTGCTATAAAATAGAGACGCACTAGAGTAATGTTTTTTTTTACACACGCCTCTGCATAGAAATATTTTCGTTATTTCAGTCCAATCCATTTATAAATAACTTATTTTGTTGATTTTTCCGACTCTAATTAAAATGTCCGAATTGGTGGCACGCTTCTAGCGAAGATAGATATATTTTGTGACGCATCTAACGTGTCCCAACTAATTATTTGACGCAGTGAATGTGTTAATGGACTATAAATTGGTCAGCGTTACGATTAAACTTTTGGTTTTTTGTCAGCGTCTTCTATAAGCATTGTTTCGTAATCTAGTGCTAACCGTACAATAATATTTTTCAATTTTTAGGAATTTTTTTTTTTAAATTAATTTTATGAGCGTCTCAACAATTATACAAAAATATGATACGCAGTGAACGTGTTCATAAATATTTTTTGAAAAAAATGGGCTATCCCATGTTTAATGTAAAAAAGGGAATTTTTGAGTTTTAACTGTGTGATTTAATTCAAACAAAAAATTTAAAAATGAAAAAAATGTTAGAATACTATTTATTTGAAACATATTTGTAGCTTGGAAACTGTTTCAGACAAGTACAAATAAATCAATTACATTAAAATTTAAAACCTAATAATATCGTAGAATTGTATCATTTTTAACTTTATTCTAGGTGAAATCCTGTGAGCAGTTTTTATGTATAACATGTGTGTAAGACAGAGAAAACTGTTTTACAAATGTTTTAAAAAAGTAAAATTCATAGGAGATTAAAAAAAAACAATTAGATCAGTGAGAATTGTCAACAAATATGTTTGATCTTATATTTTTGTTTCAACTGTTCATAATTTTATATATAACATACATAAATATCATATACAAAATATTTATACCTGCATGATTTAAATGTTATAACAAAATTATGAACTGAGTGCTATATAGCTATGCCAAACTACGATACAGTTAAAATCTGGCTTACAAAATCAATTAAGTTTTTATAAAAACTACACAGAATATAAAATAATCTTATTGGTATAATTACTATAAATACAACTGTACAGACAATGTAATGTCCAAACTCTAATCATAAAAGTTCAATAATTAATGAATAGTAATTAAGAACTAAGCAAGACAGTTTTGACCGTGCTTAATATCTTATAGTACATTATTTTTACATTAGTAACTTAAAACAATAAGGCATTTATGCTTCAGGAATTTCTTCTTCTTCGTCAATGCTATTTTCTTTAATAGTTTCTTTTTGAAAACCTAATTTTCGAAGAATATCTAAAAAAAAATGAGCAGACCATTAAAATATATATTTGTAGTACCATGATCTTTCTTTAAATCGTACTGTTATTAATTATATAATCTAATTTATGTATTTTTGTTAATAATCCAAAAATACATTTTATAGATTATCAATGATAGATATATTATTATTAACACAATTTAATTAGCTTATCTCAGGTTAGGTTGACACCAAATTTTGACAAAACTTTTGAATTAAAAAATATAAGATTTTAATGAAAATAAACAATGGTATTTTAATAAATATAATATAAGCCTAGACGCCTAGCAACCTATTGTATCCTATTTTATTTAATTGATATTTGTTGTCTGTTTTGTATTTTTAATATTAAAAAAAAAAAAAATCATGAAAAATAGGTTAACCTAATTTAAAATATATTATGTGCTAAGTTTTTTTTTTTTTAGTTAGCTCTAATACTTTATTTTTTTCTCATATGTTATAAATTTGACATTTTGGACATTTTGGTAAAACTTAAGAAACAAAGTGATATATATACTTCTTGTAAACATAATAATTCTACTGCAATAACTGAATAACATAAGATAAAAATAAATTCTAATTTAATAGTGGATGTACTTTTTTTTTTTACATTTGTATTACTATAACACCATATTATATTATACTGGTTGTCTGGTTATGACTAACTAATCAGATTTATCGAATGTCATTATAACTAAATACCAATTAAAACTGTGTGATCAGATTAGTATTTAAAATCAATATTTTGTTTTTTGTTTATTTGAGTAACCACTAACTATAGAAAGCTTTATTATTAAATCTTAACATTACAAATTAATACAAATTACATATTTTAAAATTGGGACCAAAAGTTAACGATCCCCTCAATTGAGGTATTTTTATTTGGTACTCATGGTTTAATATTAGGGTGGCCTGATATAAAATACTTAAATTTACTAAAATAAAAGAATATAATATCATCCTGTATTGAATAAAAGATGTCCTTAGGCAACTAGGGCATTTGCTCCAGTCTAGTAGTTACATCAACCTTAAGTCGGCACATTTACCACCCCCACCCCCACCGCTATGGCACTATGCTATGAGAATCTGAGTGAAAAAAATGTTGAGTTGGATAAGCAGTGAAAAGTTGCCCTAGTCTAATAAAAACTGAAATTATGCCACTGCTGCCCCTGAATATATCTTACATTGATATAATAAATTAAAAATGTATTTTACTACATTGAACATTATGAATATCCCAGAATAAAGATGTGATTGTGTGACCTACTTGCCAAATAACTTATACAAACTAAACATTACGCCATCAGTAAAAAACTTATCCACTTATAATGTAATAGCTATAATCTCATGTTATCTTGTTAAGCTGTTAGTCACAGAATTATTCTGTGTGTTTGTATCAAGCAATGTATTATACAAACTACATTTGAATGTATATAGTTATTAGTTTAACCATAGAATAGATTAAGTTAAATTAAATCTATTATGTGGTTTAAATGTTTAATACAATAAAAAGAAATATACATACATACTAAATAGTGTCACACGACCCATTTATATTATACTTGATAATTTTAAATAATTTTAAAATATTTAAAACTTTTAATTTGATTTCTCCTACAAAATATTTAGAATAGATATATGAAAATAAAAATGATTAACAGCAAGTGAATAATACTATTGCATTAAACATATCTTAAACAATTTAATATTATGTTAAATACAGAATAAAAAATTATACACTATAGATAGGTGTTGCTCATTGGCACAATTATAGGGGGGTAAAACAGTCTTTAGCACCCCCCAAGTTCTAATTTAGCTACCCTTGTTTTTTAGTTCTAACTATCATTAATTTAGTGAAATACTATCAATTTTATGTTTTTAAAATATGAAATATTATAGCACCTCATGTCTAGTACTCATAGACTAGGAAAACTGGTACAAAATAAACTGACAAAATGTATGAACCAGTTTATTTACAATAAAAAAATAAAAGGTTTGTCGTCTATACTAATAAATGTATAAATACACATTAATTATTGTATTAGGTCAATTTAAATACAATATTTCTAAATAATAGACTGAATATTTAATACTAACCTTTATCGATATAGAAAAGTAAATTATCTTTTTGCTGTGTGCGAGTCAAAAGTTCATTCACCAATTGAACTGCTATTTTATTTTCACCTTGAGTTGTATAATATTCTACCATCATTGAATATACATCACCGTATCTAAGTATATCCATATTGGGAGCTAACAAAATTTGTCGACATAATGTCATTGCTGAAT